ATATAGCTTATCCCTTCATCCCTCCCTTCATCCCTATATCTCCTCTTCATCCCAATCAGACATCCCTACATCCCTTCATCCCTCCCTTCATCCCTATATAGCTTATCCCTTCATCCCTCCCTCATCCAGACATCCCTACATCCCTTCATCCCTCCCTTCATCCCTATATAGCTTATCCCTTCATCCCTCCCTTCATCCCTATATAGCTTATCCCTTCATCCCTCCCTTCATCCCTCCCTTCATCCCTACATCCAGACATCCCTACATCCCTTCATCCCTCCCTTCATCCCTATATAGCTTATCCCTACATCCCTCCCTTCATCCCTACATCCAGACATCCCTACATCCCTTCATCCCTCCCTTCATCCCTACATCCAGACATCCCTACATCCCTTCATCCCTCCCTTCATCCCTATATAGCTTATCCCTTCATCCCTCCCTTCATCCCTATATAGCTTATCCCTTCATCCCTCCCTTCATCCCTCCCTTCATCCCTACATCCAGACATCCCTACATCCCTTCATCCCTCCCTTCATCCCTATATAGCTTATCCCTACATCCCTACATCCCTTCATCCCTATATAGCTTATCCCTTCATCCCTCCCTTCCCTCCATCCCTTCATCCCTACAACCCTCCATCCCTTCATCTCTTCTTCCCTCCATCCCTACAACCCTCCATCCCTCCATCCCTCCATCTCTTCTACCTTCATATTTAACTTGTGCGTATTTGAAGTGTCTCATCTCATCACCCCCTCCATATCAATGAATTGTTACTTCTTCCATTAAACCTACAAACACCATACTGTCGTGGCGTGGTCCTTAGTAGTAAATATGTTGTTGTTAAAGAAAGAGTCAAGCCCAAGGAAAGTTTCCGTGACTTTTATTTTAAAGTTTACAAGACCAAACATTTCAAAACTGTAAACAGTTGCACTCATCTTGCACCCCCAGAGGATGAACAATCTCTTCTTCACCTCAGCGTTTTGTGCCACAGATCGAAACAGGGCACCACGTGCAGCCGGACGTATTTCTGTCCGCCGGTCGTGCACTCCAGACAGCCGTACACGGTTTCCCGCCGCTGGGGTCCCATGCCGCAGAGCGCGCAGGGCCCCTTGGGGATGTTGTGTTTGAGGAGGTTGACCCGTGTGTGGTTGCTTTCTCTCAGGTAGGCAGTGGACACGTCCGTCATGCTGGCAGATTTCTCATAGTAGTCTGTAACCATGTCATCAATGTATGTGTCAGAGTGGGTTAGCTCCTCAAACGTTTGGTTATCTACACAGTGGATGGATAAAGCAAAATGGCAAACATGCAGTAAAAGACTTTTGTTTTATTTTGTAAAAAGGCAATAAATATACCTGCTCTAAAAGGGCTTCCATAGATTATTCCAGACAGGAAGCGGCGAAGACGACCCATCGAGAAGTGACCAATGTAACCACCGAGCTGCTCCCGGATCTGCTCCCGCTCAAACCCACCCTGAGACTCCGGGGCTACACAAATATCTGACCAAGAAGAAAAAAAATGAATATAGATTGGGGTCAAGAACAAAAACCTTGGATCCATTTTGAATATTTATTCATATGTTAACTCCTTTTATGTTTTTTTCGAATGTTTGATCATTGCTTTAGCTTGTCAGTGTTTTAATAGCAGCTGTTTAACACTGTGCTCAACATGGAAGCAACCATTTTTTGCTGCTTTTGATTCAAATAAGGTTGGAACTTTTAACCACAAAGGGAAATTTGGACTTAAACCCTCAATCTCCTGATTTGAAGTCAGACACCTTACCCATTAGGCCCATTATCCTTTACAACTCAATACACTATCTGCAGTATTACGCTGTGTAAAGGGTGTAATTTCAGGTGCCACTGTTGCTTGGTCATAAGTCATAATGACACCGTAACTCTAGAGGAGGAACAGATCCTTTTCATGGTTATAAGTGAAGACATTGTTATAGTTGTATAAGAATGTGAAGCATGAAGACTGCAGAGGAGCCTCAGGTGCTGATGCTCCCATGAAGGGAGGCAAACCTTCAATTTACGCACAAACTACTCCTTATCCTTTAAATGCTCTGTTGACTTTCATGTCAATGTCATTAGTAGATTAGAGCAGCTGATAGAAAAACACACTGGAACTATTTCATTCAAGGGAGTGGTTTCTAATTTCAGCACTGTAACAGAACTGAAGAATATGTTTCTACACTGTACACAAGAAGTTGTTTCAACAATGATTTTCATAAAGATAAGGAGCATTTGTGTGTGTTTAATGTTGAGTTAGAGCAGGTGTTTCTTTTACCCAGTCGCCCGTCCAGTCGGACAAACAGCTCGCAGATGCTGAAGGCGATGGTAGTGTGAGCCGGGATGACGATGGCCTTGTCTCGACCTTTGGGATTCCTGACGTCGTCGATCTGAAACTGCATCACAACAGAAAGCTGAGTGACACACCTGTTTATCAGCCAGGGGACTTTTTGGGAAGAAAAAGCCAAAAAGGTTTTGAAGATCTTGTAGTTTTTTTCTTTCAGAAATTGAAATGTTTCGTGTCTTTTACTAGTCATGTTATTAACGTTTATTTAAAGGACTCCTATTATACAATTTTTAGGCATATATTCTAGGTCTCAGATCATTAAAAAAACATGTCTATGAAGTGTTTTGCTCAAAACAGCAAACAGATCACCCATTGTAGCCATGCCTCATACCCCTCTATTTCAGCCCTGTTACAAGTGCTGATTCTGGGTCTGGCCCTTTAAATGTAACCAAGCTGCTGCTGGCCACGCCCCTTTGGA